CAGAGCTACGCGGCGCCGCGGGGCGGGCGCTCCAAAAGAAGAATTTTACCGTGTAGCGAAGAAACACCGGGTCCGGGATACGCGCGGCGGGGCTCAAACTGACATACACCTGCTGACAGCCAGCAAAGAGTGTCGTAGTCGCAGTTGCCGCTTGCGCCACGCCGGACAGCTCCGGGCAGCACCGATAGGAGTTCGCCTGTGATTCTCTTTCCAAGGCAGCAACCGCAGTGAGCCAACTGGTGTAGCAGCCCGGCTGCGTAGACTCTCCACCAGCTGCGGCGAGGGCAGCGCCACTGCTGCCTCGACGCTCAACGCCGTAGCCTCGGACGTAGTTGCTGCTGCCCCGCAGGATGCAGGCCACGTCCGCCCGTGATTCGCACACCCGACCCGTGCTCAAGATAGCGGGCACGCAGCACTGGCGTGGCCCGCCGGGCCGACCGGAGCAGCCGCGTCCGCCGCACAGCCCGCACGCAGCGTTGCAGCAGACCTTGCGGCTTGGGTCCTGCACGCCGGCGGAGCAGTCGGCGAATCGACGAGAGGAGGGCGTGCGATCCACGGGGCTGACGGTGAGGTTGAGACGGTGGTGGAAGACCAGGCGGTGCGCCTCGGCCGACGGCGAGAAGGACGAGAACATCTCGGGTGGGTCGGTGGCGAGGACACAAAGCGCGATGTTCAGGCCACTGAGCATCGTTGTAGAGCGCGGGTGCGATAGCAGTACTTGGGCGAGCTCAGCCGACTATCTGGGCCGGTGCGAGTCTACTGGCTCCGCACGCACGCACTGGCTCCGCAAAAACGGCGACGCGCCAATTGTCGACGTGCGCCTCAAAAGAATTCTTAAGATACAAGCCTCTCTCACAGCACACTGGCACGACAAGGGCGCAGACTGGCGCGGACTGGCACACACACAGGCTCACCACCGGAGCCTCAAAAGAATTTCAGACCCCACTCAAAAGAATTTTACAACCAGACGAGAACGGGGGGAAGGATAGGCGGGCGACATTCGACGACGTCGGGGATCACAATGTGACGACCAAAACGATCTTGGGGGCCAGGGTGAGACAACAGGTCGGGGTGCCACATGGGGCGCACCACAGGCGTATTTTAGAGGGGGAAAAGAAGCGGGGAATGAGGGGCCCCGCCACGAGAAGTGCGTTCTGGGGATGCAGAGCGTGCAAAGCGGCTAGGGATGAGGCCACAAAAGAGGCGCGCGAGGCGAGGAGGAGACGCGGAGAGCTGAAAGACTGGGATGACTGGAAACAAGAAGACAGTGAGCCACCTCAGGCGTCGCTGGCGCACATACTGAGCGGCAGCTGCGCTGGAAATAAGGAAGAGGCGCGTCACTTCATGCGGAAGCTAGACAAACACACGGCGAGGGCGACAGCAAGAGTTGAACGGGAGGCGCCGGACTCTAAAGACACCGCCACATCCCTGAGACGAGCGAGGGCAGCCTCCTTAAAGGCAATGGGGTCTAGATTCGGAGCGCTCGCCGAAGAGGAGTACGACAAAATAGCGCCCGTGATTGCCTGCACGCTGCCCGCACTCACGGACTCCATACCCGAGAGAAAGAGGAGGGAGCTCGCGGAAGAGGTGACGAGTGAACTACAGGCAGTGGGGAAGGCAGCCTCGATAGCCATACAGACATGGGCGCGAAACAACGACACGACCAAGGCACGGGCAGAGGAACGAGAGAAGAATATAGGGTGGATAAAGCGCCTGTTCACGGCATGGAGGGTGAGCCACGCCGAACGTACTGAACGTAGAGCCGAGCGGGAGGAGGAGGGGGAAGACGACTCCGAGGAGGACGAACCAGTGGAAATCCCGTTGTCAGCCGTCACGATGCACCCGAAGGGGACCACAGCGCCGGCATCATCAGTGAGGGCACAAGTGTTCGAAGAGAGAGTGGACCTGAGCAATAATATGACTGGGTGGCAAATGATAGCCGTGGGCGTCAGAAGACTCGTCCTTGCTCGAGGAGAGCTCGATAGACTCGAGGGGCCAGGATATGCAGCGAGGAGGGCGGAGCTGCGCCGAAAGGCGCAAGAAGCCGCGAGAGCAAGGGACCGGCAGGAGGCGGCGGCGCCGCAGAACGAGGCAGAGGAGAGCGACGCGACAGAAGAAGAAGCGACAAGGGAAAGAACGACGAGAGTGGGACGACCGCGAGGTGGCATGAAGGTTGCAGCGAGAATCGGAGAGAGACTGCGAAGTGAGATAGGAAGAGGCGGACGCCCAAGGGTGGGCGACGGCTAGCGCACCACACCCCTCTCCTTAAAATCCCTGTGTGGTGGCGGCGTGCCGTCCTCCCATCCCTCCCTTGGGTTGTCTGTTTTCTTTCTTTCTTACAATCAAAGAATTTTACAATAAAAATTTTACACGCATCATTTTACAACAAAAGGCGGTCGCACAGCATGATTCCGCGACAAGGAGCAGTCACACCACTCCCTCCCACTCCGCGGTTACTGGACCGTCACGTGTTCAACGACGTTGAACAGTGTTCAACCACGGCGCTGTTCACAGCGCGCGCGGACGGCCGTTCTGCGAGTCCAGCTCCGCTGGACTTTTGTAAAGCATGCTTGTGGCAAGTTATAGACGCTAGTATCGACCTCAGAGACCCAAACCCGAATTAATAATTAAGGCTCAAAGTATGGTTGAACAACCGTTGAACAAACAGGTTGAACAACGATATCCGACTAGTGCGACCGCTAGACGGCGGTCTCCGCCGGCCCCAAGGCTGCCCAGCCCCAGTACCACACCGGCCACGTAGACCGTAGCGCTGGAGTCGGTCAGTGAGGCACTAGACGGGCTACGGAACCATGCGCGAGCCGGCCGGATAGGCTGCGCGCAGGGGCCGCGCCGCCTCGATTTCGCATCTCCGCTCCGCGGCCGACTGAGGGGCCAGCTCGCCCGGCGACAAGCCCAGCCATCGCCCAGCGCCCCGTATCGACGGAGGGCACGCAAAAAAACCGCACCTACGACTAGGGTGAGCGCGTGAGGGCGTCGGTGTCGGCCACGGGCGGGCTGCGAGGAGGGCGCGGGTGGGAGCATGGGAGAAGCACCACCGCTCGACGAAGACGCGCCCGACGAAGCCCTGCTTGCGGAGGATGGTCGATCCTCACCTACTAGCGTCGGGCGTGTGCGAAAAAGAGCGCAAATCGGAGCTCAACTCGCGCGCGGCTGGGAAAGGGGTGTGGCACCCCTCCGAAGGCGCCTCGCGAGGAGCTGCTGCTGCCTCCAAACGCGCTCGGGCAGCACGTCGGCGCGCCTGCGGGGTTGGGGAGGTGAAACTATGCTTGCTGGCACGCGCATCCCGCACCACCCCCACGTCCGCGCGCACCATGCCGCCATCCCACCTCACAGCCAAGCGCCATCGCCGTCGGACGCGGCGACGCCGAGCGGTGGCCTCGCAGACGACGAGCGCGATGAGGCCGCCGCGCCGCCGGGGTGGCCGGCGCGTGCCAGCCGCTGGCCCGTCCAGCGTGGCGGGAACGGCTCGCCCATCCTGGCCCGCGCGCTTGCCGACGCGAGAAGATCGCGAGAGAGGGCAAAATGTGGGCAAAATCGCCTGTTTGCCAAACCTTCACGGCGACTTCACGTCGGAACGAGTCGGATCGACGACTCCCCGCCTGCACCAGCGTGTGCGCCTTGCAATTCTATACAGAATCGACACGTGGTACGTCTTCTCAATCGCTCGTGGAGAGGAGCTACGGCCATTCCTAAGTAGTGTTCAACGACGTTGAACAATGTTCAACGTCGTTGAACACGGTCCAGTAACCGTCCGGCGGAACACACCCCACAACTCTGCCCCACCACCCTGACCCGAGCAACCCTGCCACCCCGACCCGACCCAAAGCACCCCGCTCCGCCCCGCCCCGCCCCCCTCACCGGACAACCCCTGAGGGAGGGTGTAGAGGATGTAGAGTGTAGAGCGCTGTAGAGCTGTAGAGCTGTAGAGCGCTGTAGAGCTGTAGAGCTCTACATCAGCCGCGGGACGAAGCGCCTGCGTTGTAGAGCGATGTAGAGGCGCTCTACAACGTGAAATCTCTACAACAAACTCTACATCAAAAGCGGCGAACGAGGCACGGTCGCTCTCCGACATGAGGCGCGTTGCACTTGCCAGTGCTGCCCTGGCCTTCTGTCTGCCCGCCCAATGGGTGGCAGGTGCCTCTGCTGCTGTGGCATGCCTCACGGCAAGCCAGTGAGGACCGGGGAAGCCTCGACCAAAGGCGCCCAACTTTAATCAGTGACTCATTCCGGGGCCGTATACCAGGTGCGCCCGCGGCGCGCTCTCGGCGAAATTAGCCATTCTACTCGCTCTCCGTGACGTATTTTTGCGTCATTCGTAATGATGTGGTGTCCGTCTCTCCCCCGTGTGTCTGACCGAGCTTCTCGGAAGCTACGCCGCCTCCGGCGGCGCTAGAGGGGGGGGGGCCCATGACCCCGGCAAGCCAGTGAGGACCGGGGAAGCCTCGACCAAAGGCGCCCAACTTTAATCAGTGACTCATTCCGGGGCCGTATACCAGGTGCGCCCGCGGCGCGCTCTCGGCGAAATTAGCCATTCTACTCGCTCTCCGTGACGTATTTTTGCGTCATTCGTAATGATGTGGTGTCCGTCTCTCCCCCGTGTGTCTGACCGAGCTTCTCGGAAGCTACGCCGCCTCCGGCGGCGCTAGAGGGGGGGGGGCCCATGACCCCGGCAAGCCAGTGAGGACCGGGGAAGCCTCGACCAAAGGCGCCCAACTTTAATCAGTGACTCATTCCGGGGCCGTATACCAGGTGCGCCCGCGGCGCGCTCTCGGCGAAATTAGCCATTCTACTCGCTCTCCGTGACGTATTTTTGCGTCATTCGTAATGATGTGGTGTCCGTCTCTCCCCCGTGTGTCTGACCGAGCTTCTCGGAAGCTACGCCGCCTCCGGCGGCGCTAGAGGGGGGGGGGCCCATGACCCCGGCAAGCCAGTGAGGACCCACGACGACACAGTTCACGGCGCCGAGAACCCCTAAAACTCGCCTGCCGAGGCGCTGTGGGCTCGAGGACAGGAGGCGCATGCCCCGGGCAAGAGGGAGGCGGCTGCTCTCGTGGCTGCTGCTGCAGCTCTGCTCGGCGCAGGACGCCGCGGGCCCGGGCGAGCTCCGCCACGGCCTCGTCTTCGACGCCGGCTCCTCCGGCACGCGGGTGCATGTCTACTCGTGGAAGATCGGCGGCGGAGGGTCGAAGGACTCCTTCGACCTGATCGCCGACGACCTGCTCAAGATCAAGCCCGGCCTCTCCTCCTTCAAGGGCGAGCCGGAGCAGGCCGGCGCCTCGCTCCGCCCGCTCCTCGCCTATGCCAAGGAGAAGGTGCCGGCGGCGGCGGTGCCGTCGACGCCCGTATTCTTGATGGCGACGGCGGGCCTGCGGCTGGTTGGGGAGGGCGCCAAGGACGCGATCCTCGCGTCGGTGTGCGACGAGCTCGGCAAGTCTGGCTTCCGCTTCCGGTGCGAGTGGGCGACGCTGCTCGGAGGAGAGGACGAGGGCCTGTATGGCTGGGTGACGGTCAACTACCTGCTCGGCGCCCTCTACCCGCCCGCCAAGACGCCCGCCGTCGGCACCATCGACCTCGGCGGCGGGTCGGTCCAGGTCGTCTTCGCCACCTCGGAGCCAGTCCCCAACCCGGACGAGTCTCAGCTGTTGACGTTTGGCGCGCGGCATCACTCGCTCAACATCAACCAAGTTGAACCAAGTTGACGTAAAGTGAATTAAATCTAAGGCGCGCGGCAGCACTCGCTGTACGTCAAGTCGCACCTCGGCTACGGACTCGACGAGGCGCGGCCTTGAACCAGCGCTTCTCAACCAGAAACTCATACTGCAGCCGCGAGCGTAGACAGGATTGGCTCTGGGCTGGACTCGGATGCATCTTCACACCCCTCTTCACACCTCCTCTTCACACCCCTCTTCACACCTCCTCTTCACACCTGCTCTTCACGCCTCGGCCCTTCCCCCGCCCCGACCCCTCCTGCTATTAGCTTCGAGCCCTCGTCGCAGGCGCGGCGGAAAGCCCTCGACAGCCTAGTCTCGCGGCGAGCCGAGGACAAGCCGGAGCCATTCCGGCGAGAGATAGCCGAGAGATAGCCGCGGTGTAGCCGAGATGTTGCCAATAGTGCTGGCCCTCGCCTCGTGGACACCCAGCCACCCGTGCCTCCCAAGATCGTAGTTCTGCTCCTTAGGCACCCGTGCCTCCCCCGCGGGGCCTCCCTCGAGCACGGCGGCAAGTCGCTGGTCGGGGACGCCGACTGGGCGCGCTGCCTGCGAGTGATGGGTCGGCTCTTCCCGCAACCCTTCGCCGCGGGCCAGCCGAAGCTCGCGGACCGCTTCTACGGCTTCTCGTACATGTACGACCGCACCGCCGCCATCGGGCTGCTGGACGGGCAGCCGCGCCAGTTTGGCTCCGTCGCGATGAGCTACAACGACATCGCCGCCGCTGGCCAGCTCCCTCTGCTGGCTCAGTGCGGGCGGAGATCACTCGAGATCGTCCGAGGTCGTCCGAGATGTAGGCGAGTCCCTCTGCCGGCTCAGTGCGGAGGAGACGGCGACGCGGTTCGCAAACACGCAGGATGCCGCAAAGTCGAACAACTATTGCGGCGACGTGGCGTACGTGGCGGCTCTGCTCAAGGCGAGATGGGCCGAGATGGGCCGAGATAGGACCGAGATGGCCGTCGGCTGCTCCGGTCGAGGCGGCCGGCCTCGAGGGCGAGGGCAGTGCCAATCGCTATGACTTGACGGAGTGTGGATCAGCCCAGTGCCAACGAGCTACGCTATGACCTGACGGAGTGTGGACCAGGCGCTCGGCTTTGAGGGCGACACCAGCATCACGATGACCAACAAGATCGAGAAGGTGGAGCGCCGTGTGGGCCTCGGCGCCTTGCCCAGTTCCAGACTCACCGATGGTGGCACTGCTGCAAGGTGGAGCTTGTGTGGACGCTCGGAGCAATGCTCGCCAAGTCGGCCGAGCTGCTCGCAGACACCGGCTCGGGCGGCCTCGGCGCCGGGAGCGTGATCGGAGGGCTGGTTGCCCTCGGCGCACCGCCGCCGCCGCGCTCTGAGCTGTGACTGTGAACAGCGTTTCTTCACGGGTTATTTGTGGACAGGCTTGGCCGCCGCCGCACTGAAGCTCCTCTCGCAGCGAAGGTCGTACAGCAAGCTCCTTCCCTCGAGCAGGAGAGACTTTAACTAAGTCAGCTGAACAATTCACTACAGTCGTACAGCAAGCTCCTCCCCTCGAGCAGGAGAGACAGACTTAGTGACTCGTCATTAGCCGTGAATAATGCTTGCTAACACGCTCCGCCTCTCGAGCAGCGGCGGCTTCTGAGCGGAGTCTGACTGCATCGAGGCTTCATCGATGCGCCCGCGTACCTCCGCGAGAAAGATTGGCGTTTGCCCGCACAATGCCTCCAGAGTGTGCGTATAATCGCTGGCCGTGGACACCTCTCGGGCGTGGACACGTCTCTGGCCTCCTCCTTCGGGCGGAGAACGCGGATGTGCATGGCACGGATGCATTTTGTGAGCGGTGTGCGATTCGATCATTGTGTTGTACTGTTGTAGTGAGACGCGTTGAGGTTTGACGCCGGACAGGGGGCAGCATCCAACGGACAAGCGCAGCAGCTTTCCATGTGTGTGCGGACGATGCGTACATGCGGCTCCCCTCATCCACACCACCATTCCGCCCGCCTCGCACATTTTGGCATTGATCATTGGGGGCTTTTTGGCCAAAATCGACCAAGACAAATCCGTAGGGTCGCTTAACGGCACCCCCGCGCGGTGCCGAGCGGCCCAGGGCCGGCCAAGGGACCAAATTCGACGGGACCGTGCCGGTTTGTAGAGCTCTAGTAGTCTAACCACCAAAACGATTTCTGACCTCTCCCGTGGCCCCGGCGAGCCCCGGCGGAGGTCCGGCGCGGCGCTCCAAATCCGCTCTTCGCGAGCTTCTACGGGAGTTCACGCGGCCTCTCCGCCTCGTGAGGCACACCCCACACTCACCACGAGCCCTGGGGCTGTGCGCGGATCTTTGGCCGCGGCGTCCGGAGCTTTGGTCGTCGAATATCGGCCGCCAACTAGGCCGTCGAGCGAACGTGTCCGGAGAGGCTCTTGGATGGGTCCGGCAGCGGTCCCATGGACCCAGAAGCTCCCCCCGGCGGAGCACTCACGGCTCGGCCCCCGCCCCTGGTCACCCAGACGTGCCCCTGGACAGCCGTAGGGGCTCGGATGACGACGATGGCGCCCGCGACGACGCCCTCCCCGACGACGTCGCATCTGGCAGACTTTGAGACTACTCTCGGGCGCGGCGGCGCGGATGATCACATGGTTTGGGACTCTCGGTCTGAGCGATGGCAGAGGCCTTTATTTGCAAACGAGGACGCCCCGCGAGGCCCCGTCGGCCGGGAGTGGTGAGTGGGACCATAAACAAGCACTATATCCCGTACCGCGACCAGCCCACACACAGCCCAAACCGCTGCCAAACCGGCCCTGGTCACGCAGGCGGGGAGGCTGCCGGGGCGCCCAAACAGTCCCTCACGAACGCCACACACGGGCCACCACGGCCCGTCCGGCGGCCCGAGTGCCGCCCCACACCCGCCCGACGCCCTCGGCCAGCCAGCGCCCACTCTGAGAGGCTTCACCGCCGCCAGCGCGCCGAGCGCGCCGCCCTCTCCTCGCGCCACACGGGCCCCTGGCCGCACGCCCGAGAGGCGGCCCATAATTTGAGTCGAGACGCGCCGCCGGCCAGCCAGCAGCTCGCCCGCCACCCGCAGAGTGCCGCCACCGCCCCCAGCCCGCACTGGAGAGGCTCTCCCGGCCGCTAGCCGCTGTCGCGTCGCCCGGCGGCTGCGCCGGCAGCGTGGCGGTGAGGGCGGTGGGGGAGATGGCGGCGGCGGGCTGGGCGGGTGGCGGTGAGGGAGGTGGCGGCGACGGGGGCGGGGGTGACGGTGGCGGCGGGCTCGGTGGCGGCGGCGAGGGCGGCGGCGGCGAGGGCGGCGGCGGTGAGGGCGGAGGGGGAGAGGGCGGGGGAGGGCTCGGCGGTGGCGGAGACGGGGGTGGTGGCGAGGGCGGCGGAGGCGAGGGCGGGGGCGGGCTCGGAGGCGGTGGTGACGGGGGTGGCGGCGAGGGCGGCGGTGGCGAGGGAGGCGGCGGCGATGGCGGGGGCGGGCTTGGGGGCGGAGGGCTGGGCGGTGGTGGTGATGGTGGCGGAGGGCTGGGCGGCGGTGGGGATGGTGGCGGAGGCGACGGCGGCGGCGGCGACGGCGGAGGCGGGCTTGGCGGGGGCGGGGGGGGCGGTGGTGGCGAGGGAGGTGGTGGCGATGGCGGCGGCGGTGATGGCGGCGGCGGCGACGGAGGAGGCGGTGAGGGCGGCGGCGGACAGGGAGGCGGCCGCCATTGCGGAGGCGGCGAGGGAGGAGGGGGTGAGGGCGGGGGCGCGGCTTGGTGGCCGAGGGCTCTGCGGCGGAGGCGATGGACGAGGCAGGGAAGGCCGATGGGGCGACGGCCGCGGGGGGCGATGGACGTGGCGGCCAGGGCGGTGGCGGT